GTTTAATTTATAAATCAGGCACAGTACGAGATTAACAATAACTAATAATAAAATAAACAATTATAACAAAATAGTATAATAAAAGTTACCATAGATCTTAGTAACCTCAGCATATGATTTTTTTCTTTCCTTAAGTTGAGAATTTTCACCTTTTCCCTTAAAAGAAGTACTTTACAGCTTCTCTTTGGCATACCAAATTGCCAGCATCACTATTCTTGTACTTTGAGGCCATTATTAGTAAAATAAGGGTTCCGTGAACACAGCACCTGAGATACCTAGACAGTCAATCTGATAACTGAGACGGCTACTAAGTCACTAATGGGCTGGTAGCAGAAACATTGTGGATCCGCTGGACAAAGGATGATTCATATCTCAGGTGGGACGGGGCAGGACAGCATGAGATTTCATCATGCTACTCAGAATGATGCGCAATTTAAAACTCATGAATTTTTATTTCTGGAATTTTCCATTTAATATTTTCAGACCACGGCTGACTACAAGTAACTGAAACTTTCAAAAGTGAAACCTCAGACAAGGAGGAACTACTGTAAAGCCGCACTGTATAAAATTATATACTTTAAAAAAGTTTCATATATATAATTTTTTTTTCTGCTCAATTGGGAAGACCTATATTACTGGCAACTCAGTTTTACATTTAAGAGGATGGATTCCAAGAAAATAAAACAAGTAAGAAAAAATGATTAACACTACTGTACTGCTTACAGTGCCGACCAAGTGCTGGACACCATTCTAAACACCTGCACGTGCTCAGTGCTCGCTTTCCATAATAGGTACTATTACTGTCGGCAACTTACAGCGAGGTTCAGAGAAACAGAGGGCAGTGTGACCAAGGTCAGAATAATGCACAGGCAAAAGTCACTGTGGTACGCAGGCCGAGAACCCTCTGTCATTCCCAGACTCATTCCACCAACGCCTACTCCTCTGGAAATTAACAGCTCTGAGAACCCCTCCGAGGTGAGCTACGTGTGCTCCTGGGCGACAGGAATGACACACTGATCTGTACCATGAAATGGTCACTTTTTCAGCTTCCCTGCCAACTAAATCAGGTTGCTACAGTTCCGCACACCCAGTGAGTTCAGGTGTACATAAAGCATACTTCCATATGACCAGGCAATCTTTTCCTCCCTGACTGGCGCAATAAATATGCAGTAAGAGCCCGTCAGCACGCATGCCTCACTGCAAGAGATCAGAAGGAAAATCCCATATGTATTTGAAATAATTTATCGCACGGTACCAACATTTAACAGGGCGCATTTGACTTATTTCTGAGCCTTCTGCTCCAGAAACGTTATTCAAAAGTAAGAACCAACAAATACTTGCAAAACCTTTATTTATGAGCAGTCCTTTCAAGATGAAAACTGCCATGGAAAATATGGTAGTCTCGGCATTATTAACAACATCAGAGCTGGTTCTGTGAATAGTTCAGCTTAGCTTCTGCCCCGCCAACTTCTTCAGTCAGCCTCCAGTGCTGCCACGCCAACAGTCATCTCCCCTATTAATTATCAAGTCCCAGTTTCAGAGAACAATGAACTTTATTACTTTGCCTTTCATCTTAAAAAACAGTTGCAAGAGTAGAACTTTAGAAAAAGGAGAACACATGGTATGATGGAAATTAACAGTCAGAGTCTAACTTTAATGAGAGGTTGACAAATTAACAACTGCATACTATATAAAGTGCAGTAATTTCTTTTTTCTCTTGCTTCAGATCAAGAAAGAACCAATGAGATAATATGTGTGAATGCACTAAAAAAAAGATCAAGGGCTTTGCACATGGGGGTACCGATGGTGACTTTTGTTCAAATAGACACGAAGTCATCCACATTAGTCTGCAGATTACAGCAGGGAGACAGATAATTTCTCACAATGTTCTCTTAGTTCATCTTTATTGGAACCCCTCCTCCCACATCCTCTCTCCTTTCAATCCTCTCTTCTATGGAAAGACAGGAACACACAATTACACACACAGTTGCAAATCACCGGGGCTGGCTTGGAAAGCAAAGGGATAAGCAAAAGAGAAAAAAAGATGCTTAGGGTCGATTTTTTTTGCAAAAATAGAAAGAATCACTGCTTTCCCTGTACCCATGCCTTTGGGTAATCCCCTCACCTGCAACTCTAGGTTTAGTCATACGACTAACTTTGGCCAATGGAACATTAGCAGGTGAGCTGCAAGTGAAGGCTTGAAAAATGCTTGGACAGTGGGGCTCATCCTCTCTTGCTCTCCCTAGGACCCTGAGACCAGCATATAAATGAGCCCGAGGATGAGACACACAGGCCAAATCACCACCAGCTGACATCCAGCCAAGCATCGGCCATGTGAGTGAGGCCATCCCGGACCATCCAACCCCAGGGTAGGAATGAGAGCAGCTGAAACCCGCTGAGCCAGCCTGGACCACAAAATCATGGGAAATAATGACAGCTTGTTTAAGCCACTGGGTTTTAGGATAGAGTGTTACGCAGCAAAGGCCCTCAAACTTGTCCTGAAACTTCTCAGAAATCAGAGAACACAGCTGAGTTCAACAATTATTCACTGAATAAAGAACTAGTATACAAGACACTAGAATTTATGAGAGCTACAAAGATGACTGAAACATTTTTCCCTGACCTCAAGGAATTTATAATCTACCAGTAGGAATGACAAGTACGAGGCAACACAAAGAATGAAACACCACTCCTTCCCATCTCCAGGAAAGCCTGTCATTCACATGGCATTTGTGAACTCATTCCTCCAAACAACTTCTCTGGCAACATACAGCCACGTGGGGCCTTTATAACCATCCATTCATTCAGTGTTCAGGCCTACGGAGCATCAAAGAAAACACATAGAAACTGTGTCCTTGTGGAGTTTATATCTAATGGATGTAAGTTTTAAAACGCTTTCTATGTTTCAGAGACTTTTCAAAGTGCTATAGATGTAGATACATATATTAACTCATTCAGCATAAGTTATCCGTTTAAATAAATAAAACTAATAAAATACTGGAACTGAAAAACTAAGACACTTATTTTACATCATCTGAGGCCTCAAATATCAGTCTGAGAGGTAGACTATATTGTTCTATTAACAAATATGTTTTTAAAAGGAGAAGAGACGAAAAAAGACTAGATTATGGGAGTTTTACAACAGAATGCCTTATTGTGAGAAAAAGTCTTCTAGCACTAAGATCCAGTCTTCACAAGGGAAGGAACTTTTTTGCTTTGCTCACTGGATAAACCTGGTACCTAGAACTATGTCTAATATATAAGATGCTCCCAATAAACATGTGCTTAATGAATGAGAGGAGAGAGGGAAGGAGGGATGAATGGATGGATGGACAGATGGATGGGTGGCTGGATGGGTAGATGGCGGAATGGATGGATGAGTAGGTGGATGGGTGGTGGGTGGATGGATGGGAGGGATAAAATGAGGCAAGCTAGGCAGGCCACCACAGGGAGAATATTTTCAAACTCACAGTAATGCTAGTAACTTCTTTATCGAAGTAGGCAGCAATCGTAGCTAATTTAGAATATCAGCATGACAAAAGGAAACTCGTCACCTTTTATCCCTTCTTTGCGAAAAAGCTTCAAACTTTTGAAAATAAAGTTTTTAAAAGTTATAAAAAGTGAAACTCACAAGGCAGTTATTGAGATCCTAAAGGCATGACCTGCACATGGACAACACTAGGAAGCAGGGCCTGAATTGGACTGACTCTCTTTTTACAATGAAAACCCAAGGGGAAAGAGCACTGACTTCTAAAATCCCCACGGCAGCCAATCCCTGCTCCGATGAACACTTGGAAGTTCACTGTATTATCTTCATGTGCCAAACGAGCTCTCCAGACAATACTGTGTATTTTTAAGAGGGCCGTAACTAACAAGAAAGAGTATGTGTGACGATTTGTGGTCAGAATGTCGAACCATCAAATGCCCAAACACTTGCTAATAAGGAAGATGGCCCATGTTTGAAAGAGCTATCTCCTCCTTAATCCAAATTCTGGGCAAAATCGATGTCCATATATAAAATTCTATCCTAGAGCCACCCCCAGGTTCAATTCTTATACCAAGAAGAGGTCAAGATTAACTGCATCTAAAGGAGACACAGGCCACAAAAAACGTCGTTTCTCCCATGCTTGGTTTATAGGTTTTCTAGAAACCAGCGGATTCAGTGCTGTGGGCAGCAGGAATCCAGAGGACCACAAACCTGGCCCGCCACCAATCTGCTGAGCGACAGCCCCTGTTATTAGTGCTGCTTCCAAATCTGTTACACTCTCCAATACACGTCTTCTCCACAAAATGGAAAACTGCAGACAGTCCAAAAAAATCTTTGATAGGCTGCCATAATCTTCCAGAGACAAAAGTTCAGCTGACTGATTCTAGCATAAAACAGAAATAAGTTGGTTTAAAGTATGCCTCTCCATGAAATTTAAACTCAGAAAATCTTAAACCAGTAAAGGATTTCAGTTTCATTTTATTTCTCATTAGTCAAAACATTCTGAAAGAGTAAAAAATTCTCTTCCTTCAATGCGTTCTCTGCTTCTGCCGCAGGCTTGCAGTACCCTGCCTCTTCGACTCCCCAGAGATGGGATGCTAAGTAAGACACCAGCACAATTTAAACTTAGATATTATTTGCATTAGCATCCCATCATCACATAGATTCAAATATGCTCCATCCTCCAAATTCAACTCAACAGTTTACGTGCATAAGAAAAAAAAAAAAATCCCATATAATTAATGTCTGAAAAAAACAACTTTAATTCAACTTATACTCGTACAAATAGCACACTTCTCAAGGACAAGCCTCTCCAGTTACAGCCTCTGTGTATGGTAGCCTGCTTCCTCCTCTGCCCACCCCCAGGGAGAAGCCACAGTCAGATGTCCTGTGCAGGACAATGAAAACACAGAGGCAAGTCCAACGCTGGAGTAGTCAAAGGATACATTTTCAGGAAGGAAAAGACTCTATCTATTAAAAAGTGAGAAGAACAACCAGTGCTGGAGGGACTCACAGAGAGAGCGCTCTCAGGGCTGCGAGGACCACTCTGCGGTCCGGCTCTGGATGGACGCTGCACAGAGTCGGCTCTCCCTTCTGTCGCACCATCTGTCAGACACTTGAGAGCCTGATGCTGCAGTCCAAACTGTCTGTGATTTATTGCGAAGCACAGAGCTCAAGGAGTTATTTGGAAGTCAGATAACATATCTTTGAGCATTTTTTTTAATCGTTTACAAAATGCTGGGACAGAGAAACTAAAACATGCACAGAGCAGACAAACCAGAAACATGCATGAAGCGGGGGTGGGGAGAGAGAAAGTGGGAGTGGACAAAGAATTAGTAGATTCTGCATTACTCAAAAAAAATTGATCAGCAATAAAACATACAAGATTTATAAAAAGCCAAGCCAAAAGGTACACAGGAGGGGTATTAAGTAGTCACTTTATAAACCACTTTAAACACTAAGCAGTCGCCACAATATCGCAGCCATGCAAAGGGGAACCAATACTAAGCCCTCAGGAATGCACGATCCAGGACTTGCAGACGCTGGATTTATGACAACATTAAGTTTCAAGACCCAAGAGAGTTATCGCAGTTTCAGACAAATTCAGCCAGGATGAAAAACACATTGAGGCAGCATTCTAAGAGACTAGAAAGATAGATCAAAAAGAGAAGAAGAGTATGTTAACACAGATTCTGAGAAGCCGGCAGAGCAAGTCAAGAGATCAGGATGTGGACTTTGGTATCAGACCAGGTCTAACTATGAAACAGAAACTATTTCAGTATTTACATCCCAGGGGTTTTACTATAAGGAATTGGTTACTCGGCTGAAGGAAGAGTTGAGAAGCCATTGAGGATGGCCACCTGCAAACTGACAACAACAGTTAAACCAGCATCACCTCCAGACAGGAAGGACAAAGAGGGGAGGAGGTTTTGTGGAGGCCAGGGCTGTGTCACTAGGTGTAACTGCGCTGGGGATGTGGATGCCACAAGGAGACACAAGGGAAGAGGTCTGGTTTCTCCCTCCAATCTCCCACAGTGAGACCCACACGAGCCCGGGAAAGCACAGCCCACAGGGGTCAGACCCTGTGATGCAGAGCAGAGCAGGAGAAGGCGGAGAACAGATCTGAGGGCAAAGATGCCCAAGACTCCTCCACTTTACCTGAGCTTTTCTAATGCAGCACTCAAACCTTAAGGTGCAGACACATCACCTGGGCATCTGATTCAAATACAGATTCCGACTTAACAAGTCTGCAGTGGGGCCTGAGATCATGCATTTCTAACCAGCTCTCAGAGGATGCTGATGATGCTGGTCCAGGAACCACACTTTGAACAGCAAAGATCTAACCAATCCAAATGAAGGACCAGACTATAATCAAAAGAAATTCAGCCACATTCCTTCCAAGAAACAAAATACAGTCATAATAAGCCTTTTGAATAGGAATGAGAAGATCATGACTGACAGTACAGGAAGGAGCATGACCAGGGTACAACTGCTGCCTGTACAGCGCTCCACGTTCCTTTCCCACGTGGCATCAGCTGTGTGCAGTTCAAGGTGGCTATGGGCAGACCGTGTCCCCTTGTAACTCCTAAGTTGAAGTCCTAACACCCGGTACCTCAGAACGTAACTGCATTTGGAGACAGGGCCTTTAAAGAGGTAGTTAGGTTAAAAGGAAGCCGTTAGGGTAGGCCCTGATCAAATCTGACTGGTGTCCTTCTAAGAAGAGATTAGGACACTCAGAGGGTGACACAGAGGAAAGGCCATGTGATGACTCAGAGAGAAGGCGGCTCTCCACAAGCCTCGGAGAGAGGCCTCAGGAGAAACCAGCCCTGCCGACACCTTGATCTTGGACTTCCAGCCTCCAGGACTGTGAGAAAATAAATGGCTGCTGTTTAAGCCACCCATCTGTGGATTTGTTACGTCAGCCCTAGCAAATTAACAGAAAGGTTTTGTCTTTGTTTCTCGATACCACTTTACTCCAGTAAGTTTTCACTACATGCCTGCTCTGTCAGAAGCAGAGTTCTAGGAGTTGGTTTACAGAATGATAAAGAGACAGTCCTTGTCCAGATCCTTCTCCTGTTTAGAGGGAGAAACCAAGACCAGCAAACTCAGATTATGATAAATACCGTGATGCGACAGAAGTAAAACCAAATGCTGTAGAATCACAGAGGAAAACAAAACCACTCTACCTGCGAAGTGAGAGAGATGAGTGATCAAAGAGAGCTTCAAAGCAGATTCTGACAGGCATAGAAAAGGAGCATCTCGAATGACGAAACAACACAGGCAAAGGCCGCGACACCAAGACACCAAACGCCCAGGTGAGTGCAGACATCTGGCAGGGCCGGGTGGGGGTGCCAGGGTGCTGGGGTGGACAGAACCGTGACAGGACACAGGAAAATGAGATCAGTGCCTTTGGGGGCCAGGCAAGGGAGTTTGGACTTTAACTTCTTGAAAATGAAGATTAATGAAAATGAGGAAGGCAGTTTAAGGAGCAAGAGTGTGGATACGGGGTACACAGTAGAGGATGATAAAACTCTCATTACCTAACTGCCTAAGGACTATCTCTTTAAGATAAACACACTATCTTCTGTCATAGGTTAGCTACTTTCAAAACACCCCCAAGCACTTTAGCATCTCTTACCCCAGTTAAAAAGACACAAGCCCCAGATGGAGGCAGGTAGCTAAGCCCACCAACACTAACCAGCTAAGCGCAGTTCCTGCCTCTCCCAGGTGGGATTTTAAGCCAACCAGTCTGGACTTCCCTGGTCAGCCCTGATAAGGGCTTGCAGAATAGGACCCTGGCTCCCCCAAGGGAGGGTAACCTGGCCTCCAAGGATCCTCTTTTCTTTTATTAATAACTTGTCTGTCCCGCCCAACTCCTACCTATAAAAACCTTCCTTTTTGTACAGCCCTCAGAGCTCCTCTCTACTTACTAGGTGGGATGCTGCCATATTCACGAATCATTTAGAAAAGCCAATTAGATCTTCAAAGTTACTCAGCTGAATTTTGCTTTTTAACACCCCGTTACCTTTTATATAAGGAAGAGGTTACCATCCACCACGATTTCCAAGCTAGGAACTAGGATAAGCAACAGTTGTGGTTAATAATTATGAGCCAGTAAGTCAGAAAGGGAACTGAAGCCGAAGATCCAAGTTCTGCAGATCAAAGCCCAAGGCTCCACCGTTATTCACCATGGTGCCAGCAGCTCCGCAGAAAACAGCCAGGCCTTTCGTCAGAGCCTGTGTCTACACAGCAGCCTCTCACCCCCACTCCACCCACACTCAACAGCACCCTGGATTTCACTCGCCCGAGCAAGGGAAGCCACAGACTAGACGAAAAAGAAAGGAACAAAGTTACTCCTTGGCTTGTAATCATCCAAGAGCTCAGCATCTGGTGATTTCCATGGACATTAAGGGACTTTCAAGAGTAATTCTGACTTCAAGGGTCCTTTGCCTTACACATTGACTTGAGACTCCCCTGCACGAGATGGGATTTCCATGAATTCCTGAAGTCAGTCCTCCTGATGTATGCTGACAAGCTAATCTCAAGGCTTATACCTGGAACAGGAAATACAAGCACATCGCACAGGTAGCTTAACAATGACAAAGAAGGTCACTGCAAGGACTGAGAAGATGGGTTATTGCTCTTTTCCTTAGTCTTCTTGTGACCGAACCAAAATGGGTTCACCTCCTGGCGAGTTAAAATCAGACCCTTCACCAGAAGTAGTTGTTACACAAAGTAGGGAATATTTGCAGCAAATAGGAGGCCACGCAGAATCATTTGCAAAGTTGTGGTGGCCCTAACACAGGGAAGCAGCGGCCTTTTATTTCAGAGAGGGAATGAATATTCAAAAGGGATAGGTGGGCAGTTGCTTGCCCAGGCTCAGTTGGAAAATGTGTCCACATACAATGCAGGTTATGGTAATAAGGCCTAGGCTCCTCCCAGAGAGGAGATCTTAGCATTAAAAATGAGGCAAAGGTCATAGGTGGCTACTGTGGTGGGGCCTGGTCTGGTTCAGGATGGCGGATGACTGCATTTCTTAAACAGTTAAATGCTTCCGAACCCTCCCTCGAGTTCCTGGGGGCAATCAGTCAGTGATACTCTCTTCAAACAACACCCATGAGTCTTCTCTGACATGACTTGTCAATAAAGTTGGGCAAGAAAAAGCAACACGATAGGCTCTCATCATGCGAATAAACACCAAATTGGTCTTTGGGTATCCCTTCAATCCCCTGGATGTTTTAACTCTCTTCAGGCTTCTCCCCAAAGGTCTCTCCTTGGATGTTTAGAATTTGGGGCTTGGAAGGAGGATAACTGACAACCTGGTAGCGTAAACAACCAGGTCCTGATGATGAAGATAATCCCTGGAATTTACTGCTTCACTGGGCCTGTCTCTACAAAATGTGCAAATTCACTGGAAGAGCAGTACCCAGAATTCAAAGTTTCACAGTTTAACGTGGGCATGTGTATACTAAACCACTGATCTCAAAGGAGGATTACACATGTATCACTTTGCCATGGCCTTATTGTGGGTGAAATATACTTCTTCTCCCTTGACTTTCAGTTCAGCCAAATGGCTTGCTTTGGTCAATGGAACGCTAGCAGACACAATACAAGCAGAAGCTTGAAAAGCACTTGCATGGCTAGGCCCGCCTGCTTGTACCTTAGTCAAGACCATGAGAAGAACATGCTCCAGATGATCAGCTGGTCCAAAAGGATGAGAGACATGTGGAACAGACCTGGAACCCACCCGCAGCCTGGATCCAAGACCAAACAAAGCAGACTAGACCAGCCAACCACCAGCCAACCTGCACATGCAAGAGGGAAAATAAATGTTTTCAGCCACTGGGTTGGAGTGGGTTCTGTGCAGCATTATTGGAATGATAGCTGACTGATGAACAGTCAGACAGCAGAAATATGGGAAAGGATTACACAAACCACCTAGATGCAAACTCATCGAATAACAATCCCTTTCCCCATCAATTTCCAAAGAAAGTTTTCAAAAAAAGCATTTGAGTAGCCCCCTTCTTCACCTCAGCCCTCAGGCACTGTCTTCCAATAAAGGAAGAAGACAGTCCTTAAAATATCAAACGTGAGCAGAAAACGAATACAGATTTAAAGCACAAATACCAGCAGAGAAATCTAAAACGGGTCTGCAAGGTCAAGAGAAGGGAAAAATTTAAAATATCATTAGCCTTTCTCATAACCTTTAACACCCAGCACATATCACATTTCTATTCTTCTCCTCTGGAAAGTTGTAAAAAAATGAAAATAATAAGATTTATGAAAAACTGAATTGGAACTGGAAGAGAATTTAGCTTCAGGGCCCAGAATTGCCTTATCAGGAAAAGGATGGGAAAAGTTCAGGGGTTCACGGTGCTGACTCTCAGCACGGCCATCTTTGCAGAGATGTAAGAAAACGCCCACCACGGTGACAAGGAGAGACACAGGAGCCAAAGAGACGAGGCTGAAATCTTTCAGTTCATTGCTGCTTTGCCTCCTGTGCTAACAGGCACTATGTATTCCTGATGACTTTTCAAATAGCTAACTATTTGATTTCTCTTTTCCTTAAATGAAGCAGACTTTAGTCCTCTCTCCTTGGCAAACTTTCTGAGGAAAGTGTACATCACGCCATGAAAGGTCAAACGACTTGGGCTGCATAAGTCAGCCGCTCGACACTACTTCTTAGAGTTGACGCAACGTAATGAAAAAATACCCACATCTTCGGTGGTGGTTATTCCACATCTGACTATCCTGAAATGCCAGTGAGGTCTTTGCTCAGTTTCCTGAACAAAAATCTCTCAACAAAGGAAACGCTGAGGAAGCATCTCAGAATAATCCAACATTATCATCATAATCAGGAGCAGAAAAAAGAAAGTCTGAACACAGAAGCCCTCACTTTTTGCAGTACTTTCTGCAACTGGAAAGAATGTCTTCAGGATCATTACAACTCACCACCATTGAGAAGCGCAGCACAGCCTCCAACCTCATGAGAAACAGTCTTTTTAACCCCCAGAGAAGGCCAAGTTGCCTAAATGGTACAAGGAGAACTTCACATAATAAGATGCTGACCCCACTCTCAGAGAAAGCTATTAGACACAGAACTCAACATTAACCCAGGCCTTCAAAAGTTACCCCCATGAAACAGTAAATGGGTGCCCCATTTTCATGTGAAAGGGATCCAAGTTAGGGTTCTGCCAAGACATGCAGCTAAACTTCATCTATCCAGCCTCGCCAATATTAAAGAGACACTTACTCCTTTGGGAAAGTTTTACCTCAAGAGACCTCAAAAACAAACCTAGGATTTAATAGCCTCTGAATCACCTTCTCTCATGCATAAAGTCAGACAGATGCTATCAAAGCAGAAAATTCAAGTCTAAACCTCAAACCCGGTATGGCTGACCCTCAACAGACACAGGCTTTCTACCAACTCAGCAAAAAACGGGAACAGAAAGAAACGTATTTGGAAGCATAGAGTATGAAAAATGGAGGCCATTATCGATGTCCTTTAACAACGAGTCTTGCCAAAAATGCAGACCATCACTGTCTAGCCCTTGAGACATACAGGAAAAAATTCCAAGAGAAGTTACTAGTTTAGAAATTTCTGAAATCTAGCCATGCTGTGCACACATATTCTAAAATATTGCCATGTGAAGTATCTTTTTCATTCAACATATCACTTTTATATTGGGTTTAACAAAAGTGGAAAGGTAAAGTGGATGCCCTTGAATATTAAACAGAGTCTAATATGTGCTGAGTCAAAAATGGAAAAATTCCAAGAAGTGAAAGCAAATACCTTAAGTATCAGCATCACCTCTCTGTGTTAAAACACATACAGCTTCAATGTCTAACAGCTCCTTTCCCCTTTCTTCAAACTCAAATCAGAACCCCGACTCCACAAGCGACTGATCAGTTCCAACTGATCATACCTTAAGCAAAGCACACAACAGCCATATTTGAGGGAGAAAAAAAAGTTTTACCTACTTAAGCCAGCATAATAAGAATAAGGCACCTTTTTATAGTCCTTACTTTCAAAATATTTTGGGTTTCATTCCACTTATTTGTCCATTCCTTGGTCAATTCTTGAACCTAAAAGGAAAAATATACATATATGATTGCTCCATTAAAATAATTATTGTGATTTTCTTCTAGAAAGTTTCCAAACTCTTATGGCTTATGGAAGGATGGACTCTGATTTTTTTTAATTGGACAGCAATTTCTACCCTTGAAAGAACCATCACAAAATATAAATCAAACAAGCTGATCTCACCCTACAACCTACCTTACAGTGAAGGAAAGAACAGAAAAAAAATTGTCAAGTCTCCGAGAGTTTTACAACAGTATTTTTCACGTGTATTTAAAGAAAAGCTGCTTCCTTGGATATTAACCAAAATTACAAGTTCAAGGAGGACAATGTTTCATTAAATGGGTTAATTTTTCCTGATTATACTTTAGGTCCTAAGAAATAGTGATTTACTCTTCTTTCTAATTAGATGTGGTGATTAAATCATCTTGGATGCTGCAGCTTCTTAGGAGATAATCTGCTTTTGTAGCTAATTAATAGGGTTTATAAATCTCATTCTATCTCAAAAGAAAAAAAAGGTGGCTCTTTAATTGACTCTTCTAGTGAGAGCAAAAATCTTTTGATAAAAATCAGCTTCTTTCCAGTCCACTGTGTAACTTAGGGGAGAAAATATCCCCAGCAGTCAAACACAGCACAGTTGTAAATTGCTTCTCAAAGTTAAGAAAATATTCTGCTTGTTTCATAAAACTTTTTAAATGATCTTAGTAATTCATCAAGAAGCAAAAAGTGAAACCTCTTCGAGAGGTAGAAAAAAAAGAATGAAAAATGTGTTCTGTAAAAAGGACTATACCTGGGCCAGGAGGGTGACTTGCGAGAGAACTTGCCCTTGCAAAGCTTTCCCTCGCGCACTTTACCGATCCTGCCTCCTCGCCACTCCCAACAGCAGACAGCATCCCACTTAAACCCACAGGTCTTCCCACTAATGACTTATCCTATTTCACCAGGCCCAAATAAATGCACAGAATACATTTGCATAAACTCTCACTGCCAAGAGGAAGACACTTTCCACAAGCCATTAAGTATTGTAAGTGGAAAGGGCATTGTGTCAGCAACCTTCATGAAAGAAAGTGCTTGTTACTGACAAGAAATGGAGGACCTGGAGTGACAGTTTATCCAAGTGGAAAACCAAAACATCTCTCACCCACCTAAATTCAATTGTTCAGTGGTCATTCATTTTGCTCCTCAATTTACCTCAAACAGAACTATAGGAGTTCTAAGTTAACATTTTTTTAAATAATGGGTCTTTTACTAGGTATTAATATCAAAATCTATCATCTTCTTGGTAAAAAAACAAAAGAAATAGGACTGATCCTCTCTGTGCTTTTTGCTTGTTTTTAATGGTTGGATACGATTGTCCTGATCTACCTGGATCTGGTCACACTCCAGTCCTTCATTTCATCACTCAAGTGATGCCAACCCACAAACTCTAATGACGGCAATAAAAGTCACATGGCTATCAGGGCATTTTGTTTTGGAAAAGTTTTCAGAGAAGGATTAATCTTATGCCTTCTCTCCCTACAGAAGGAGAAAGACTGTTGTAATGAATTTACTAATTTGTAATAATTAGTTACCAGATTCTCATTGGCAATTTATCTGAGAAACACAAAGCATTCAACAATAAACGCTTCTGCATTTCACCAACAGATAGTTCTCCCTGAAGAAACTTAAGCCAATCAACCCTTTTCCAATTCAATAAAGTAATGCTAGCTTTAAGCAAATATTAAGTATGCCTCGGGTTTATTTTACTACTAAATTTAAAGCAAATAATCCTCACTTATAAAATTAAGAAAAAACGCAGGGCCAGCCCTGGTTGGCCCAGTGGTTAAGTTTGGCATGCTACACTTTGGCGGCCCGGGTTCAGCTCCTGGGCATGGACTTAGGCTGGTCTATTAACAGCCAGGCTGTGCTGGCAGCCCACATACTTAAAAACAGAGGAAGATTGGCATGGATGTTAGCTCAGGGTAAATCTTCCTCAGAAAAAAAAAGAAGAAACACAAATGTGTGATACCACCTCTAACAATGTGATCAGGTGATAAGATTTACAGCCGAGCAGATGGCAAACAATTTTAAAAGGTCAGCAAAAACCTAGATGAAAATTTAGAAAATGTTATGAACAATACAGACAGTCACAGCATGTATAATGGATTCAAATTAAAATGTTTATTGGTTTCTATTAACTTGCTACATATTCCTGAAAACTATTATTAAGAAACAATTTAAGACTATATCCAGACATTTCAAAGCACTCAAAATTAGAATATGTAGCACTCAAATACAAAATTCCACAGAAAAATAGGGATTGGATTAAGAAACTAATGTTTCTACTAATGCTATTATCAGCAAGTTAATCAGCATAATTATCCAGGAAGTGTCAATAACTTCCTAACCACAATCCAATTTATATCTTCAATATCAGTGTATCCTTGAAAGAGCTTTACAAACAGAATCCAATTTTGTTTTTTAATCTGTTTGAACCATTCAGCAAGGTGAACAAAATCCACTCCAAAAATGTCCTTAATGCCTATTTCTCTTTTCATAGAGGGCTTTTGTTTTAAGCAAAAATAGTATAGAACCAAGTCAGCCATGAAACTGGTTTTCAAAAAGCGCCAGCAGACAAACACTGGCTTAGGCCCGTAAGATCTCTAGAGCCACTCTCTCCCTACCTCAAATCCCACCTCACCCAACAGAAATCAAGCGCCCACCTGAAGTATTTAGATACTCGCTCCACCGAAACAAAGTCAAAGATGACAATAAACTCAACGCTGGTCATGGCTTGGCTACGCTCAAGCTATGGGATCCCAGTTGTTTCACGAATGTTGAAACAGCCTCTCAACCAAAGACTCTGGTCTAATCTGAAGGCCAAAACGGCCTCACTGCTTCCTCAGCACAGCCTGCACGTGAATTTCAGCTGCAGTTAACCATTACATTCCAGACAAATCCCATTTATTAAGTCACAGAGAACATGATGAGATACTTAAAAAGTTAATTATTGTGCTTCTTTAGAAACACTCATGTGGGGGCCAGCCTGGTGGTGCAGTGGTTGGGTTTGTGCATGCTGCTTCAGCGGCCTGGGGTTCGTGGGATCAGATCCCGGGGGCGGACCTACACACTGCTCATCAGCCATGCTGTGGTGGCATCCCACACACAAAATAGAGGAAGACTGGCATAGATGTTAGCTCAGCAACAATCTTCCACTGAAGGTTATGATTTAAAAATAAATAAGTTGGGGCTGTCCCAGTGGCAGAGCAGTTAAGTTTGCACGCTCTGCTTTGGTGGCCTGGGGTTCGCCAGTTCAGATCCAAGGCACAAACCTATGTACTGCTTATTAAGCCATGCTGTGGTAGGCATCCCACACGTAAACTAGAGGAAGATGGGCACAGATGTTAGCTCAGGGCCAATCTTCCTCAGCAAAAAGAGGAGGATTGGTGGCAGATATTAACTCAGGGCTAATCTTCCTCAATAAATAAATAAATAAATAAATAAAGTCAAGGTATCACTTACTCTTGCTTCATTCTGCTGAAGTTTTTCTTCCATACTTAAGGCTGTGGGTGAGTCTAAGAGGGCAATCTGCAATTTAAACCATAAGAGAGCAGCAATTAGTAAACAGCAATAATCTAGAGGAAGGGTTTATCCATGATATAAGAAATCATCAAAAATTGCCAAGTAAACTATTAAATAGAGGTAAAATGTATTGTCCCACACCCCCAAAAAAGTGTCAGTCATCACCAGGTCTTTAATCCATGGGGTCCATATCTCACAATATTCAAAACCACAGCAGCCTGGTAAATCCACACTTGCAAAACAAATCAGTAAAGCAAAAGAAAAAGAAAAATATGTAACACATTGACATTTTACCAAAATCAAACATGATCTAAATCCCTAGATCCTAAAGGATTCATTTGTTTTGAATATGCACAAAGTACAAAATTCAAAACGGAAGAAGCGTAAGTCTTGCTCAACCACAGGCTTCTGAGATTCATCCGTGTTGATGCATGCAAATGAAACTCATTTATACTCATTTCTAGATGATACTCCGTGTATGATATGGCTGCACCAAAACCTATTTATCCATCTCCTTACCCATGTTGCAAAGGTATACAGATTGACACGGGATGACAAACACCACAGTCAGGTTAGAACTAGAGAGACAAGGAAGGCAAACGGAGCCAGGCAGGGCACACGGTGGCTTCACCTGTACTCATAACTCACCCCCTGAGAGGCAGGGGCCCAGTGCTCCCTACATGTCATCAGGAAGAAAAAAGAAAGGGGTGTCCCTCCCTCCTCATCCCACAGGCGGCCACTCTTGCCCAATTTGCTGTGTAAACTTATTCTGTTATTCTGGTCATAAGCAAGCACGCTTTTGCTGTTCTTTTAAACACAGTCAGCATGCACACTACTCTGAATATTGCCTTCTTCCCTCAACAATATAACTTGGGGAAAATTCAGAACAAACAAATCTACTTCATTCTTTTTAACAAGTCCGATTCCAGTGTACAGTATTCCATTGCATGGACAGTCTATAATTTATGGCAGTATTTTCTTATTCTTATTCATGGAAATGCAGTTTTTTCTAATCTTCTGCTTTACCAATAACACTACGATGACTATCCTTATACCAGTTGCCTACAGTATCAATAGAATAAATTCCTAGAAGGGAATTTGTGAGTCATGCATATGTACAATTTTTTTTAATTGCCAAATTGTCCTCCACAGAGGCCAAGCCTTTTTTCCCTACTATTTACTTTTTGATTTCTACTCAAACAAATGTGACACCCACAAAGTGGTCTTCTTAGGCTCAGTTAAACATTCAGACTATCAGGACTACTGTGAGCCATACTTGGCGTCTTTCTACTCAGCAGAAAGCAGAGCTGCTGGCGGGGAGAGCGAGGTCCTTGGGCAGTCTCTGCAGCAGCCCTCACA